AAAAAAATCTCCATTCCATATATACTTTAGTATATACTTTAGGAGGGACAATCTCCTCCTGTACCAGTCAGATCTGATTTGACAGTATACACACACACACAATGTTTTCAAAATTAATTTTTAAGAAGACTAATACGGATTTAAATTTTAAAAGTTCAATAAACTTTGCATAGAGAAGTGTACTGGGGTGGGGGGTGGGGGGGGAAGGAACGTGGGAACTGTATACTAATGAAGAAATTTTTTTTTCCCTTTTTCTCTTTGGAGGGGGAAGCGAGCTGGTGGGGAGGGGTGGGCAGGGAGAAAAGTGCGGAAAAGAATGAATGGAAATCCAAAACCTCTATAAATGTATATTAAAATTAATAATAAAAAAAGATATAAAAAAAGTTCAATAAACTTTAAAAATATATAATGTCAGCAATATCCCTGGGGTCACAGGGAAGCAAGGGATCAATAAAAATTAGAAAAGGAAAGATTTCTGGCCGGAGTTTAAATCCAGCAAGGACTAGATATTGCTGTAAATATCAAATATTTTAAGGCAAAAATAAGTGTTATAATCCATTATAAAAAGTATTAAGGTGTAAAGGGCAGTGACAATTTTTACAGAAAAAGATGAAGCCAGAACCACAACTTTAGAGAAGATACGATTTACCGGGAAAGAGCCAACTGAGTGGGAGGCTCGGGAAAGCCTGTGGGGCTAAAGGAGGTAAAGCCTGGGGTGCTCAGGAGACTGAGGGCGGACAGGTCTATCAGAGAGGTGTACAGGTATAAAGGGTCTTAGCTACTGTGCTTGTCATTTCATCTGTTTTTTAAAAAGCAGATCAATATTGTTAGTTACCATGAAGGAGATTTGTATCCACACAATAGTATTATAAAACTAGGGGCTCTGGTGGTGCAGGGGTTGGCATTTGATTGCTAAAGGTCACAGTATAAAAGATGTGGCAGAGTAAAAAGGTGGCAGTCCACTTCTGTACGTGTTACAGTTTTAGTAACCCCCCATGGGGAAGTTCTATTCTGTCCTAGTGGGTCCCTGTCAGTCAGAATTGATTCAACAGCACTAGATCTTTTGAGTTTTATTATACTACTAAATACTTTTTTTAGATATAATTAGCTGCTGTTGTTCGCTGTCAAGTTGAAACTGACCCATAGCTGTCCCTCTAGCAGGTTTCCAGAAACAGTAAATCACATGGGGGGAGACTGCCCATCCTCCTACCATGGAGCAGCTGCTGGATTTGAAGCGCATGCCTCTGACATTGTAGCGCAGCCTCTTGCCACTTAGGCCATCAGGGTTCCCTTTTTATGCATAACGGTAGTATCAAATCAATGCAAGAAAGCGTGCATGTGTTTGGAGATGCACCCTGAAGGGTGAAAGGATGAAATGACAGGATATCTAGGATTTAATATCAAATACTTATGTATTCACACCCATTTAATAGGAAATAATTATTTTTAAACCTACAACTCTTTTAAAAAGTCAGAAAACAATTCAGATCAAAAGATTCTCATTTTAGTTGCACAATCAATGCATTACCAAGTCATACAGATACTTAATGTGAATTTCACTTCAAACCCAGCCACTGTGCTTCATCTCCATTGCCATCGCACACCTACCATTCCCATTGCACCCACTCTTACTGACCTCTGATCTCATAACATATTTAGGTCACAGTACTGTTCTGCTTGAAACTTTCAACAGTGTGTCATGGCACAGGGGGCGTGGGGGGTTGGCTGTAAATCCTAAATAGCTACCAAACTCTACATGACTGAGTTCACTCCAAGCTCTGCAGCCTCACCACAGCCAAGGCCACAGTGCTCTAAGCCAATCTGAATTTATTTTAGCTCTTCAAACAGCCAAACTCTCACTTTAGTCTTTGTACATGGTCTATTTGTATTACTTTCTTCATATAGCTGGGTTCTACTCATCCTCTAACTTCAGCTTTAACGTCTCCTCCCCAAAGAAAACTTGCCCTGGCTCCACAGTCTACACCTCCCTTTTCTTCGGCACATACTACATTGTACACATTTATTTATCTGTGAGTTTATTTGCTTACTGTCTTATATTTGAAGTAACAGCCTATTAATTTTTTAATTCATTTTAATGAAAGTTTACAGAGACTGAGGATTTCCATTCATTCATTGTTCCCCTTTTCTCCCTGCCTACCCATCCCTACTCCCAATTCACTCTTCTCTTTGGAAAGTAAAAGAAAAATTCTTTCATTGTTATACAATCCCTCCCCCCAAGTCCACTCCACTATGGAGCCTTCATTCTGGACTCCTGTCATGACAATAATACCTAATCACATATCCCTTTTAAACAGCTTTCTCCCTCATTTGTTTCAATGCAGTATACATTACTGAACCCATCTTTCTCAGTCTCCCCCCAACCCCAATGTCAGTCCCATTTTACAACAGTGGCACTATGCAGTATTTGTCCTTTTGTGACTGAGATATTTCACTCAGCATAATGTCCTCCAGGGTCACCCATTCTGAGTAATATTGCATGAGTTCCTCGTTTTTCAATGCAGCATAGTATTCCATTGTGTGAATATACCACAGCTTCTCTACCTATTCATCTGTTGATGGGCACTTAGGTTGTTTCCAGCTTCTTGCTATTGTGAACAAAGCCATGATAAACATGGGTGTGTGCATTAGCCTATTCATTTTGCAAGTATCCTCAAGGCTTACATAGTATTTAGCACTCAGAAGAAGCTAAAATTATATTTATAAATGAACTAATTTTAAGTCATTTTTCTTTACCATCTATGAAATATCATTATCAGCATAAGAAATACAGAAAAGGAATGAAAATTCACTCAAGTTTAACACTAAACATACAAGTCTTTGTTGTTTTGTTTTGTTTTTCACTTGTTATGTACTGTCAAATCAGATCCAACTGGCACAGGAGGAGATTGCCCCTCCTTCTCCAGTGGATCATCTGGTGGATGTGAATAGCACACCTGCAGGATTGCAGTGCAGTTTCTTGCCACTAGGCTACCAGAGCGCCATACATAAAAGTCTTTGGGACTTGTGTTGCCTACACATTGCTGTTTTTCCCTGAATTCCTTGACTGGGAATCCTAGGAAGCTCTGGTGGCCTTATCCATAGGCAGTTGTGTTGCTAACCCAAAAGTCCTGCCTCTCTGGTAACTGGAACACACCAAGTGGCTCTGAGGGAGAGAGCTGGGCAATCCATGCTGTATACAGCTTTAGAAACTCAATGGAGGATCTCTGAGTTGCTTCTATGGCATTTAGTTTTAATTTTTCATTTGGATTGGGAATTCTATCTGGCCTCATTATTAAATTATAATACTAACATCTAACACTTAACAACAACAATAGAGAGAGAGAGATCAGTTGACCTAGTGGATAGTGGCCCTCAGGCCTGGTTTTAATTGTTTTTGGTCAAACATTCTTCTAAGTGATGTAGCACTGGTCTGCCCATTTGCTGTACACAGGTAACTCGTGGTTGCTGTGAAGCTGAACACTGTGACACTGATGCGATAATGGTCACCCATGGTGGACAGTGTTTGGTGGAGCTCCCCAATTAAAACAAGCTTGAAAGAAGGAGTGGCAACCACTTCTGAAATAGCTTGCCTCCGGAAACTCTACAACTTGGAGAAACGATGAAAGTTACACAAATATTCAGGTCTTTTGTTCATAGGGTCGCTATGAGTCTCCTACGACTTGATGGCAGTTAACAACAACATCTAACAAGAGCCTCATTTCCCTTCCCAACTTTTAAACAATATAAAACCAAAACTAAACTGACTGCTCTCCAGTCAATTCCAACTCATGGCAAACACTCCACTGAGTTTCTGATGCTGCAAATTTCAACAGAAAGAGAATTCCCATTTTTCTCCTACTGAGCTACTGGTGGATTCAAAGAAAAAGAGGTGTGCAACCTTTTGGTTAGCGATGCAACATTGTATAGACTAGGCCACCTAAGCGCCTTTAAATGGTGTAGCAGTACAAATATCAAAATGCTTGGTTTCAAACATCATGATAGACACCATTATAAGTACACAATCCCTACTTAGCACATGGATAATTTAACATTCTTTAGCATTAAATTATCCTCTCCAAAGTGCTAAAGAGCAATGATGTTAGTCTAGAGACTAAAGTGCACTTTATTCAGGCCATGGTCTTCTCAATTGCTTGTTAGACATCTGAGAGCTGAATAATGACTAAAGATTGCCTTGAAGGGCAGAGGGTCATCACAAAAGAGGAAAACCCTGGATGAGATGGTCTGACACAGCAACTGTGGCAATGGGGTGAGGTGTGTCAGAGACAGTGAGGCTGAATCAGGAAAGGACAGGGTAATTTCCACAGATGCTAAGAGAATAGCCCACTCATAACAACAAAGCCATAATACTACTAAATAAATGCATACTACTACAATACTTCTCCAAACTAAAATGAATTTGTCTCAATCCTTAAGAGCTGTGAAAAATAGCTATCAGCTTTAACCATACCCATAGCAGTCAAGCTGGTTTCTACTCATGGCCATGCTCCATCAGCTTCCAGAGGCTGTAAACTTTTATAGGAGGAAACTGCCCATCTTGTTCTCACAGAGTAACTAGTGGTTTCAAACTATTGACCTTTCAATTAGTAGTGCAACACATAATGCTCTCAATCACAAGAGCTCCTATGCCATAACCACAGTCACCTCTATTATGTCCAAGATGGTTTAAAATAATATGTATAGTCATCTCTAATATGTCTACGGTGATTTCAAACAATTTTTAAACACATGTTGCTTTTAAAAATTATTTGTTCTTGAGGTTCTTTGCACTAGAGAAATCTGAAGTGATCAATAATTAAATACAACAGTAGTGTCTGGTATGCAGTAACTGTTGAGTAAGTATGCTTTCACTAAATGCTAATGAAATAAATAATCATATTTCCTTCATTTTATGCTATTCCTCTCAGATCCAATTCCTTTCCCAGGTGTCTTGTTTTCTAAGAAAGTACTAATAATTGAAATATTTATAAATTACTTTAAAAAGAGGCACCCGTGTGCCTAATTTATTTGTCCTCTATAATAGAGTTTATATTCTGATAAAGTTTAAATTCTGAAGCAATTGACTTATGGAAGGCTGCAGTCTATGCTAGCAGCATTAATTCTATTTTGTAGGTTGGCATAAATTCAGATGCCATTTTTTTTAACTTACAAACAACTATGACAGAAAAAAAAGGTAGTAAAAACCAAAAGTCTATGATATACTATGATGTATGTCACTTTTTATAACTAAAAACTTCTATCTTCTTTTGTTTGAATGAAAGCTCTCCTACTCATGTTATTAATTTCTCTAGCCACAACAATCTATCTTATAATGAAGATTTGATAGTAAAAGTTTTAACAAATATTTGAACCAAAAAAGAACTTAACTAGACAGCACCATACTGAGTGAAAGAAGTTGGTCTCATAAGGACAAATATTGAGTAAGACCATTATTGTAAAAAGAGAAGGATAAGTGAACAAGATGTGTACACATGTTCAAAAGGGGAAGGAGAAGGGAAGAAGGGGGCAGAAAGAGGGGAGAGAGGAAATCACTAGGATTGAAGAGGTTAGTGAGTGGAAAGGGAGGTGAAGAAACAGGAAAAATTCAGTGTGGGCTTGAAAAGATGGGTGATAATAGGCATAGATGGCAGTAATTTTCTAAAATACAATGCATATGAGCAATTGTATAAACACAATGTACATTAAAACAATGTAAATGAGAGATTGTATAAAACACAAAGTAAAATTCATTAAATACAATGTACAGGAATGACTGTATGTAAATCACTAAGACAAGGGGGAAAATTTTTTTAAAAAGAGTACTTAATGAGAGTAGAGAATTTAAATCTAGATTTCTATTGGGTTATGTTTTCTGGCTTGTTTTAAAATTCTATAATATACTAAAATAAGAGGGTTAAATTATAATTAGGGTAACCAAATAAAATTGGTCAAATACCAGCTATATCATGTAATAGTTTGTCAAACCTATTTTAACAAATTTTTGTTTTCTCAAAATCTATAACTAACATAGCTTTATTTTTAATCTTATCTAATTGCTATTAGAGGAACTTACAAATAGCATATGAAAGATATATCAGAGGGAGCACTGGTGGCTTAGTAATAAAGAGTTGCACTGCCAACTCAAAGGTATGTGGTTCAAATCTACCAGCTGCTCCTTGGGAAAAAAATGGGCAATTTCCTCTACTATGAGTTACTATTTCTGAAAACCCTCTGGAGGGCCAGCTACAATATGGTTCTGACTCAATGATACGCAAAAACATTACAAAATAAAGACAATTACTATATTGAATGAAAAATAGCAAAGCCAAAAAAAAAGTTATTAAAAAAATGTGTATCTCTAATCAGTGACATGTAAGTATCTTTCCTTTGTATTGAGAGTAAAAAACAAAAATTAAAAAGGTTAATAAAAGAAAAAAGAAATAAAGAACCAAAACACTACTTGGTGGCCAATAAAACGGGATCAATAATGCTCTGAGGAGCTCTGATAGTGCAGTGGTCAAGTGCTTGGCTGTTAACTGAAGGGCCAAGAGTGTGACTCCATCGGCCACTTCAAAGAAGAAAGATGTGGCAATCAGGTTCCATACCAACCACCGCCTTGGGAACTCTGCGGAGCAGTCTGCTCCCCTCTGTCCTACAGAGTCGATATAAGTCAGAACCGAGTCAACAGCAAAAGGTACTGGATAGTGAAATGAAAAAAGAAGGCAATGATTCTTACCTTGGATCAATCACTTCTGGATAGGCGCAGACCCTCAGGGTTTTTGAATTTGAGCCAACAGCATATAAACCGCCACCTGGATGAAAAGCCACTGCTCTAACAGCTTGTGTGTCCTCTAGAGTACTGATACAAACAAACTGCTTTTTTGATTTGTCTTCCTATGAAAAGAGTAAATATGAAAATTAATTAATAAATATGAATACATATGAAAATCACCCTCTGAAACATGAATGTGAAGATATCATCTTCACTTATTTTTAAATTTGACTACATTATTCCTACTTTAACTTTATGTTCCCTACCCACAAATATATTTCTTTTTAACTGGAAGATCCAATTTTTCTATGTTTTGCTACTTATTGCTAAACTAAGCTCAAAAAGCTCACAGATTAAAAAACAAAAAAGCTCACAGATATTCAAGGTTTTTTATCTAAGGCAAAATATAAGAATATGAATTATCATATAAAGCTCTCTTTTAGCTGCTAAAGAA